CCTCCTCCTCCTCCTCCTCCTCCTCCTCCTCCTCCTCCTCTTCCTCCTCAGGCCCGTCGAAGTAGTAGCCCAGACCTTTGTTTCCCATCTTGAACACGTAACCTTCCTTCGGCCCTTGAAAGCTCTCCGATGCGATGAATGGCTTGCTCTCTCCCTTTCTCTTGGTCTTCTTTTCCACTTTTGCTTCCTCCTCGTCCTTGTCCTCCTCTCCTTCCTCTTCCTCCTCCTCTTCCTCCCCTTCCTTCCCCCAGTCACCAACATCTTCGTCTCCAAAGAAATCAGAGAATTTCATATTCTTTGCCTTCTTGTCGTCCTCTGTCTCTTCATCATCTTCGTCATCTTCTCCTTCCCCCTCCTCGTCCTCTCCCTCCTCTTCCTCGTCCTCGTCCTCCTCGTCCTCCTCTTCCTCTTCCTCTTCCTCTTCCTCTTCCTCCTAGTCACAAGATTCAGGCGAAAACCAGAAGAAGCGTAGGAGGGTGAGCAATTGAAAGGAAAGGTCGACAAGGAAAAGGCAAAGCAAACCCGAGACGGGAGGAGCAGGCAGGCAGGCAGGCAGGCAGGCAGGCAGGCAGGGAGTGAGAGGAGGAGGGGAGGGGGGAGGGTGAAAGGAGAGGAGAAAGGGAGAGGAAGAGGAGGCTCGGCTTCACCTCCAAGTCCTTGACGCGCTTCTTGGAGGATTTCCGAGGTTTCACTTGAGGCGGAGGAGCGACGCCAACCTAAAGATGTGTGAGAGAGGAGAAGACGGGAAGAGAAGAGGAAGAGAAGGAGAGTGCGGGGATGAGATAGAAGGAGCAGCAGGGGAGAGCAGGGGAGAGCAGAAGGGAGAAGAGTCACCTTGGACCTCCAGGCAGGGGAGGAGACGCGGCTCAAGTCTCCCTGCAGGAAGTAGAAGGGCTCGTCGCCGTGAACTCCGTTGGCGTCGCTTAAGAGAATCCAGCGAGAGCTCTCGACCTGAGGAGAAGCGAAAGAAGAAGTCAGGGGTGATGAGGAGAGGAGAGGCAGAGGCAGAGGAGGGGAAAGAAGGAGGGAGGGGAGGGGATGAAGGGAAGGAGAGGAAAAGGAGAGGAAGGGAAGGAGAGGAAGGGGGGCTGAAATCAAGGAGGAGGCTGACTTGTCTCTTCTTGAGCTGTTTGTTTCGAAGTTTTGTTCCTCCTCGCTCGTAGAGGAGCGTAAAATCTCCCTTGGTGTAGGCGATGCCAAACTCCCACACTGCACGACCAGCGTCAGATCTGCCAGCATCACCACAACATCGCGCTCCTCCTCATCTCCGTCATCTCCATCATCATCATCATCATCATCATCATCATCATCATCATCATCATCATCTCCATCATCATCTCCATCATCATCATCATCTCCATCATCATCATCATCATCATCATCATCATCATCATCATCATCATCATCATCATCATCATCATCATCATCATCATCATCATCATCATCATCATCATCATCATCATCATCATCATCATCATCATCATCATCATCATCATCATCATCATCATCATCATCATCATCATCATCATCATCATCATCATCATCATCATCATCATCATTATCCTTCCCCCCTCTCTCCCTGCTTGCTCCTCACGCACCTTTGTTGTTTCGCTTGTAAACACCATCCACGTTTTCCTCTCCGCACTCCTCCACCACCATCTCGATCTGCATGCGCGCAAGTCAGGGTCTCCTCCCCTTCCCCTCCTCCCCTGCCTCGTCTGCTTCTTCCTTCAGCCTGTATGCTCTCAAAACACATCGAATGTACAGCTGGACAGAAAATTTCTTTACGGGTAAGTCTGAGCATTAGTTCCGATTACTTTTGACCAGTTGATTGCTAGCTATTCAAGACCTTGCCAACCAAGTCGACATGCATGAGGTCATCTCGTCCTTGAGGCGATACCTTGCCAGATTTCTTGCCCGGCAAACAAGCTTGGCATCATCAGCGGGGGGCGAGCAGGCTTTTCAGCATATTGAGCCCAATCAACACACTGGTACAGGATGCGAATGACGTCACAGCTACCACTCACTTGTGCGTGATTGAAGCTTGTTCTGGCAGTGGGAAGTCGTTGAGTGCTGCTGATTTCTTTGTGCGAAACTCAGACCAGAGTATTTATTTTCTCTCCAACCCTTCGAAGAAAGAAAACAAGCAGAACTTGTACCAAAACGTCTCAAGCATCACAAACTTGATGGGCTTGGCCATGAACTGCGACCTTATCTCGTTGATTCGGTCTACAACTCTTACATTGAGTACTGAACTTCTTGGAGTATTAGATTTTGATTTGAAAGAAGGTGAAAGGAAGTGGTGTTTGTTGGGAGCTCTTGGCTACTTGTGGAAGGAGACGACTACTGATGGATGAGACCATTCCTCCTGAGCAGGACTTCGCAGCGATCGCCAAGCTGGTGCTCGTCAAGAAGTTGTTGACAAACGCAAACATTCACTGCATTATGTTGGGGACGAACACTTTGGTCAGGAATATCGATAAGATTTCAAGAAGCTCCGAGTACAGTCGCGTCTCTCAACTGTTGGACAACGTCAACCCATGGCTCTGTTCGCTTTTCTTGACTAGTTTGAGTCGAATCCCCGAAATCAAAAATCCATCCAGTTTGATTCGAAACATCTCCAGAGCGGTCCTGCTTAGGGTAAAGCGCGACAAAAGGAGCCTGAAGGACGAATCTATCTACTGCATGTTTCAGATTCCCGCGCATGAAGCTGTCTCTCAGTTGCACATCTCCAAGGGGTTTGCTCAGCTGAATGTGTGGGTCAGCAATTTGCCACGGCGGGGCAGTAAAGAATCTATGTCTGAAATGACTAGATTAGAAAACGAGGTGGAACTGAGAATCCATGACACTCCTCTGCCAGAACTGACCGCGTCTTTCCCACCTGCTGTGCAAGATCCCATCACCCTGGCTGTTTGTGCTGGGGCAGGACGGCCTTTCGGCCAAAGATCAGCGCTTCAGGTCTTGCAGAGCATCCACAAGCAGAAGGCAGTTTGGAGTAATCCCATTAATGTGGATGCGTACAAGCGAGATGCGAACGAGTTAGAGTCGTTTGGTGCAGCTGTCCTAATGATCAGCAGCTGGTCTCCCTCTGAGGACCTTCTGAAGAATATCGCTTATCACTGCGGCATGCAAGAAGACCAGCCAAGTGTAGGTGAGATTCTTGCTTCTGTCAGAAACAAGAAATGCTTCATGCGAATCCTCAAATCCTGCGTATCCAACTTAGCTCCTGTACGATGGAGTGAGCGGAGAGACGCAGCTTCGCCGTTCATGGGCTACTACATCCGTAGCCAGGACAGACAGAAAAGGGACGGTACCTTTACAGGACCAACCTCTGCAAGCCAGAAATCATTGATGGGAGGAGCGGAGTACAAGAATTGAGATTCTGCACTCATTCCTGAACAGTTGTCAGAGGTGCTCTCTAAACTGTTGAAGCAGGATCTGGATGTTAATGTGTGCATGGTTCCGGAGATATCAATCGATGTGACAGAGAACAATCTGAAAGAGAGAACAATCTGAAAGGAATCATCAAGAATACTGGAATTCAATGCAAGACTGAGTGGCTTGTATTGCATCTCAAAGGTGAAGGCTGGAGATCCTTTTCATTTCAGATTGATGCATTTGATGATAATCAGACGATGAAAAGAGACGAAGAATGTGTTCATAAGCAAGCAGGGGTTGATCTGGAGCTTGAGCCTGTCAAACGAAAGTGCTGATGATCATTGAGATTGGAATTAAAACTCAACCATTCTGGGGTAAAGGAAGATATGATCAGTGCCCCAAACGGAAGAAGCGAAGAGATCAACGTGGAAGAAGGAAGGAAAACGTATCAGAACCAACAAAGAAATGAAAAAGAATTGTCGACAAGCAAAGAAAGTGCGCAGCAATGCTCTATAATTATGTGCATTGTAGTAAAATTGAGCATCCTGCTCTTGTATACAACATGTTCCTATCATCATACAGAGGTGATCAAGACGTAGCCTTCGGCGGATGCTTGAAGCTTGACCGAGTCAATTTGGTTGATGTGCTGTTCTGCAACGTTGGGTATGAGAGGCTTGGTTACGGTGCCTGCACGGCCTGCCCCGCTGGCAAGTACCGCGACAGGGCTCCTCAACTCCTCTCCCTCCCTCGCCTCCCTCCCTCCCTGTTTGTTTCATGGCACGCCACCAGACGCATTTTTTCATGTCAATACTTTGATGCTTGCAAAGAGTAGAGATGCATGGCAGAGGCAAGTTATCTAAAGCCTGATCAGAATGGAAATTGTCTGAAAACTTGTTCCCTGGCCCTGACAGGAACCGCAACATTGTCGCATTGCCAAGGTTTTTGAGTGTTGATGCGAAACTCATAATCTCCGGGGAGAATCTCATGCCCCTCGAATCTTTCGCTCTAAAACTTTGACGACACCAATCCATTACCAAGTACGGCATGATTTTGTGTGTTGTTTTGAAAGCGTCGATATCATTACTGGCAAACATCACCAATTCAGAAACTACATCTGGCAATCCACAAGCATGTGAGTTTGAAACTGCTCTTTCGACATTGCACATCGCAGAGAACTCATGCTCTGGTGTTTTGTTGTGCTTGATACAGAGAGTCGTGCTCACTCAGAATCCTTCGGATGATTTCACATCGGGTGTTGCCATCAAGGGTTCTGAACGTTTCACAAACTGTCTGAATGAACAGCTCGGAGTCTGCCTTGGTGTGCTTCTTTGGGGGATATGGATCAACATGCTCCTCCGACAATTTTGCATATCTGCAGAATGATCACACTACAGAGAGGGAAAGAAAGCAACATCACATCACAGACTTACCGCAAAAAGTAATCGTGAATCGTGGATTGTAATGAATTCAAATCTTCGAAATGTGAGGTAGACCACTTTTCGATTCGGGAAAAAAGAGTTCGATGCTTTCTGTGCATGTTATCAAGCTGTGTACGAAGTCGATTTAAATGCTCATAAATAGCAGTGGTTCCTGCATGTGGATTTCCAGATGCTTGTGTTTCGAAAACCTTCGTGTAATAGTAGAGAAAGCATTTCGCAAACCCTTCTGATGTATGTCCGTAAACATCTCCAAGGACTTTTAGCTTCTTTTGCACTTCAAATAAGGATATAGAACGAAGACTTAACTTCAGATGCTGGGTCGCTGAAGTGAGAAGATTGTTGTCTTCACACTCCAAACACAAAGTTGCATGATCTTGACATTGCAAGAAATCCAACAGCTTGAAAACCAAGGTATCATCCCACTTCGAGAGTAAAATCCGCTTAGAACCACACTCATCCTTTTGGGTTTTGAATAAATTTATACAAGTTGTGCAAACAGGCACACCTTGCCACCTTCGAACACTGGCCTTCTTCCTTCTTCTTTGGCATGATTGGCATGTTTCGGTATTCCGCACCTTCGGCTTGTCCATGGCGAGGGGGGTCACAGGTTTGCCCGCCAAAAATCGGATTTGAATTTTGTTGTGACCCTGGACAATATGGGGATGTGGGTCCTCGCGAACTGGTATGAGGAGGGATGTGGTTAATTGAAGCCCTCATCCCCTCGCAGATCGATTGACCTTGACTCTGCCTTGACTCCTCAATGGCAAGAGCGTAGTCGGTGTACGGAGAGCAAGAGCGAGAGCAAGAGCGAGAGCAAGAGCGAGAGCGAGAGCAACAGCAACAGCAACAGCAACAGCAACAGCAACAGCAACAGCAACAGCAACAGCAACAGCAACAGCAACAGCAACAGCAACAGCAACAGCAACAGCAACAGCAACAGCAACAGCAACAGCAACAGCAACAGCAACAGCAAGGAGAGGAGGGAGAAGCGAGGCGGACACTAATCTTCCCGCACTTGGAACTTCTTGCTCACTTACTGATGGCATGAAGTCATGAAGGACGGGGTGGTACAGGGCGTGCTTGTCGTGTCGCAGCCTCTCAAACCCGGTCAGAGCGATCAAGATGATGAGGAGGAGGAGCGAGGGCCGAGGTACATCCCAGCCGCACTCAGACAGCAGCCAGCAGCGGACGCGCCTCATCGCGCCAATACCTGTCCTCATTGCTCTCCCTATGCCTGCAGCCCTGACTGCCCGAACGCGTCCAAGGAGTGGAAGCCCCTCCATGTGCCCTACTCCTGGACCTGCCGCATCTGCTCCATGCTCGCGCTCCTGGGCCTCGTGGCTGCTGTCGTGCTCCTCGCCCTTCGCTTCGGGTCGAGCACGCTGTCGGGCAAGCAGGTGGTGAAGGAGGACTGCGGAAGCTTCCGAGGGAGCCTGCGCATGATGGTGAAGCTGGAGGGAGTCAGCCGGGATGACTTGGAGTCTCACTGCTCTCGAGTTCGAGCTGCGATCGCCAACTCCATCGCCTCCGACTTCCCTCCTCAGAACGTGTCGGTGGTGGACGTGAAGGAGAGTGCGAGGAGAGCGTCGGTGTACGTCACAGCTCTGCTCACTGTCAACAGCGGAGGCTCGTCGAGGAGGACGGGGGAGGGCGGGGCAATGTCACGGCAAGCAGATCTCTTGACCATCATGAACCGCATCCTGGCCTTCCTCTCCTCCCAGCAAGGCTCTTCAACCTTTTCCGACCTCATGGGCAAGACTGTCACCATCCAGGTGATGAACTCGGGCGCGGAGGGCGCGAGTCTCGCTCCCATCGCTCCTCCTCCTCCCCCCTCGGACTGGTCGTGCCCTCCTCATGCGGTGGCGCCAGCAGGAGCAGTCTCAAGGGACGCCTGCCTCTGCGTCGAGGGCTTCTACAGCAAGGACGGAGAGTGTCGCACGTGCCCCAACGGCTTCTACTGCCCTGCTGCTGACAACACCGCCCGCCCTTGCCCTGCCAACTCGCAGAGCGGAACAGGAGCGAGCAAGCTAACGGACTGCACGTGCTTGCCTGGCTACTACGGGATGGCCGGAAGCACCTGCCTGGCTTGTGGCATCGGTTACTTCTGTCCGGGGAACAGCTCCCTTACCGCCTGCCCCCCCGGCAAGACCAGCAGCCCCAACAGCATCGTCCTCTCAGACTGCTTCTGCAACGCTGGGACGTTCCAGTCTCTGCTGTCCTCCACCTGCATCACGTGCCAAGCCGGTACCTTCTGCTCCCTGGGGCGCAAGACAGAATGCCCTGCAGGGTCGTACTCCAGCGCTTCCTCCTCGGCTTGCACGTCCTGTCCTGTAGGTAAGCAGTCAGACGCCGGCGCGAGCAGCTGCAGTGAAATCCCCTGCCCTCCCAACTCGGAGAAAGTCATCGACGCGAGCACCAACTCCTTCTCCTGCTTCTGCGCCGCCTCCTTCTACATGAACGCCAACATGACGTGCAGCGCGTGCGACATGGTCTGTCCCGCGGGAACATTCCTTGTGGGGTGCCGAGACAGGTCGCCGGGCTCATGCTCCCCGTGCGACGTCAACTTCTTCGCTTCCGACGTGGCGGCCGGCCGGACCAGCTGCACCGCCTGCTCGACCCTCAGGTGCGAAGCTGGGAAGTTCCTGGAGGGATGCGGCGGAGTCTCCCGTGGAGCATGCACTCCCTGCCCTCCAGGCACCTACGCAGAGGACACAAAGTACCGGACTGAGTGCTCCCTTTGCGGCTCTCAGCTCAATTGTCCAGCTGGACAGCAGCTAGTGGGCTGCCAACTGTCGTCACGAGGCAGCTGCGATGTCTGTCCCGCTGGCCACTACTCGCTGGGGGACACCTTCAGCTGCCTCCCCTGCGTCAACCTCACCTGCTCCCCCGGCGCTTTCCGAGACGGGTGCGGGGGGAGCAGCGCAGGCTCCTGCCTCACGTGCCCCAACGGCAAGTACACGCCCTACAGGAATGGGGTGTGGAACCAGGAGGAATGCTCCCCCTGCCCCGTCGCCTCCTGCGGCCTCCAGCAGTTCCTCTCCGGCTGCCTCGTCCAGTCCCCCGGCACCTGCAGGGACCTCAAGTGCGTGCAGGTCGGCATCATGAGCTTGTGCAACGCCATCGCAGACCCCTCAGCCTCCTCCCTCCTCCCCCTCGATGTCCCTCCCCTCGTCCCCAGTGACAGCGCGCTGGGCATCTCATCGACGTGGCTGGCGGACGGGAAGCTGGCGGTGGGCGCGTACCTGGACAAGGGAGAAGGAAGCTGGAACCTCGGAGCCGTGTACATCTTCGATGCCAAGGGAACATCCAACCTGCTCTCCCGCATCAACGGCTCCTCCTCCTCCTCTCCTCCTGCAAGGGGTGACGGCTTCGGCTTCTCTGTCGCCTCCTACACCAAGACAGCTGCCGGAGCCCAGCGCCTCCTCGTTGGTTCTCCTTTCCGGGACAGTCAGTTCCTCAACTCGGGGAGCGTGTGGGTGGTCACCCTGACGTCCTCGCTCAAGGAGGAGCGAGCAGTAGAGCTCAAGACGGACGGGATCGCGAGCTTGAGTGGAGAATTCATGCAGTTCGGATGCGCCATAGCTGTCATCGGGGACGTGAACGGCGATGGTGTCCCCGACATCGCTGTCTCTGCCTGCCGAACTACTCAGCCAGGGATCGTCTACGTCCTGTGCCTTGACGAGAGTCTGACATCCATCGTGAAGTTCCTCGAGATTAAGAGTGATGCCTTCCTCAGCGACACTGCTGTTGGGCTCCCGCTCGCTCCTCTCGGCAGGTTAGACACCAACAACGTCCCTGACTTTTGCGTGGGGGCGTCGAAGGGAGCTGGGAAGCTGTTTGCCGTCTTCCTTGACAACAATGGCACATCCTACCGGTTGGAAGAGGTCAAGCTCGCCGCGTCCTCGCTCTCCTCGGCCTTTCCCGACATGCTCGGCCTTGGCATCGCTATGACGCAAGTCGGAGACATCAACGGGGACGGAGTGACCGATCTCGTCGTCGCCAGTCGCTCAAGTTCGGCAGGCAGCTTATACGTCGTGAAGCTCAATCGCGACGGAAGCGCTCAAGTACCTGCACCCTCTCCTCCTCCTCCTCCTCCTCCTCGTCTCTCCTCCTCCTTCTCCTTCTCCTCCTCCTCGTCTCTCCTCTTGCTCCTGCTCGTACTGGCTCTGCTCCTCTCCTCACCTCCTCCTTGAGCAGATACTAAATTTTGGCAGGCCTTAGTCAAGCTCGAAACTGATGTGACAGTTCCTTCTGGCAACAACCTCATCCGATCCTTGAGCACCTCCCCGCTTGACCTGAACAACAACAGCCTGGTTCAATCGCCTCCACCCCCCTCCCTTCCTCTCCTTCCCTCCCTTCCTCTCTTCACCCCCTCGTCTCTCCTCTCCTCTCCTCCCCTCATCTCTCCTCCTCTCCTCTCCTCTCCTCTCCTCTCCACAACAACAAGTAGGGCATGAAGGTCTGGGGAATGAGCTAGTCAATTGAGATATAAAAAAGTCATATATACGAGTCTCGGGGGATGAAGCGACCCGTTGTAACTTAGCGGTTTTCCGTGCCATATTTTTTTTTCTTATTTTTATATTTTTTTTTATTTTTATATTTGCATTTTGTGTATGGGA